AAACATACAAATACGACAGACAGACAAATAAACAAAAACAAAGGATTACTATAATCCATATAAACAATTTCTCCAGTGCCTCCAGAGCAGTGAACTATACCTAGTACTGCTCTGGTCAGGCCATATAAGAACAATTATAATTCCATTTTGCGAGTCCATGAGTCTCATCATAAATTTATAAACAGCATTTCTTATTACAGCATTTAGTGTGGTCACATCATTCTGCACACACAACTGGCTTGCACTGGTCCAGCGAGGTACCTTCAAAAGAATCCTTAGAGTATCATTATATGCTACTTGTAGCTTGTGAAAAACAGCTTTAGTATAGCAACACCACAGATGAGGAGTATATAGTGGTGTGCAGTAAGCTTTAAACAGTGCTATTTTTGCAATTTCTGTACACATTCCAAATTTCCGTACCAGCATATTTGCCTGTGCATACAATTTACAGTACTGCCTCTGGATGTCATCATTATCAGAGAGGTCACTCCTTATAATGGACCAAGGTACTTCACTTTCTCCACAACTGCCAGACCCCTTCCTGACAAGTGGAACGGGAAATACAGCATTACGCTGCTCTCCGGTCCTCACAATCATCACAACAGACTTTATTGGATTAAACTTGATGTCATATCGTTCACCATATTCAGTACACACATCAAGCAATTGCTGGAGGCCTGCAGAACATGGTGACATAATGACCAGGTCATCAGCATAAAGTAAATGGTTTAATAGTCTATCCCCTATCATACAGCTGGTCTTACAGTTTTTCAAAGTTCGGGAGAGATCATCCATGTAAAGATTAAAAAGCATGGGTGACAGGATCCCACCCTGCCTCACCCCATTACTCACAGAAAAAGGTCTTGATATCGTACTACCCCATCTAACCTGCATTGTTTGATGTGTGTACCAAAAACCTAATATCCGGATTAGGTAGGGAGGAACCCCTCGCTGTTGCAATTTTTCAAACAGTTTGCCATGATTGATACGGTCAAACGCTTTTGAGGCATCCAAGAATCACAGAAACACAGTGGAGTTCTGCCCTCTGAACTTCCTCACAGCCTCTTTCATGGCATAGATGCACATATCAGTTCCATGTTGACTTTTAAAACCAAACTGCTCGTCAGTGGTAACAACGTATTTCTGAAATCTATCCAGGAGCACAATTTCAAAAACCTTTGATATGACACTAGGCAATGCAATTGGGCTATAATTATCCATAGAGGAGATCTTTCCTGTTTTATCCTTCACTACAGGTGCAAGAACAACAGATAACATAGAGCTGGGCAATATACCATGCATTAACATTGCAGAAAAACATAAAGCAAGTAATACCACAACTCTATGACTGGCAAATTTTAAGTGCTCTGCAGAGATTCTATCCAAGCCACAAGATTTACCCACTGATAGTTTCCCAATGGCTTTAAATACCTCCTCAGCAGGAGATCACATCATCGGGAGGAACATCCCCAATACTGAAGTTTTTAGTTTCTGCGCAGTTGAATAGATCACTATAATGCTTTCTCCACAGCTCCACAATATTATCAGGCCCTGTAACTCCCTCAACACTAAAGGACAGAGGAACTTTAGCAGCATTCATAACCTGAATTTCTTTCCAAAAGTCCTGCACATCATTTTGCAACAATTTTCGCACTAAGGAGTCAGCCCTCAGTTTATACTCCGTTCTTTTTATGTACCATACAGCACGTTTAAATTGCTTATCCATCAATTTTTTATGCTCAAATACAGGTCCGGTCCTTGGTTTACCCACAGAAACCCAATTTAAAAAAGCCACTTTAGCCTGCTGGTGATGTTTCCTTACATACTCATTCCATCCAGGTCGGGCATTTTGTTTTTTAAAACTTCTTTTAGTAAATGGCATACTTGAATCTTTTAATCCAGCCACAACTAGATCATACATCTTACACACGTCCTCTCTATGATTCAGATTTTCACAATTAACATTTCCACACATAAGAGCATTATATGGAATTGAGATATTCCCAAGATTCCTCTCAGTCAGGTAACAATAGTGCAGTAAATCACTCTCTGTGAGCTTTTCCCATCACCCATGTGAGTATCATGAGGGGTTAAAGCAGGTAGACTCTCCACATTTAGTGTAACAGAGACAGGCATGTGATCCACAGTTGCCATCCCATACATGATCTCTAAGTCCACTATACCCTCCTGAGCATCCGCCGTACTTATGCAGTGATCAAGCCAAGAGGTTGTTACGGAAGCCCTGAACCGCAACCTAAAAAAAAAAAAAAAGTCAGTAAAAAAAAAAAAAAATCTGTAAAAAAAAAAAAATCTGTAAAAAAAAAAAAAATCTAGCATTTCGAGATTAAAGTCGAACTGTTTCGAGATTAAAGTCGAAATGTTTCGAGATTAAAGTCGAAATGTTTCGAGATTAAAGTCGGAATGTTTCGAGATTAAAGTCGAAATGTTTCGAGATTAAAGTCGAAATGTTTCGAGATTAAAGTCGAAACATTGTGCATTCATAACAGTGCGCGTCCACTGGCTCAGAGCGCGCGCGCGTGTGTGTGTGTGAAGTCGAACTGCCATGGATAAACACAAAATAGTAGCTTTTTACTTTTATCTGAATTACTTATCTTACTTTATCGTTATAAAATATAATGCGCCGGAATAGACTTTAGCCTATAGGAAAACCAACACGGAAAACACTTTTCAGACTGGATGGAGAATTCCAGCTTTATGAATGAATGAATGAATGAATAGGGCATTTATAGCGCTTTCATCTATGCCTACACTCAAAGTGCTTTACAATCATATGAGAATCTCTCCTCAACCATAAGTGGTTATTAAATCTTAGGAAATCACAGGATCCGGCCAAATGATTGGATACAGAATGATGCACTTAAAATGTATACAGAGCGGTACGTTGAAGAGGGAGACCGAACAGTTACTGTTGTTGTGTTTTCGACCCAGATAGTGTTGACTAGACGAGCACGAAAACACCTCAGAAACACTGCCACTAGCACGTGTGACGTGTGTAGATTTTGTTGAAAGCCCAGATAAAAGTAAAAAGCTACTATTTTGTGTTTATCCATGGTTCGACTTCACACACACACACCAGTGGACGCGCACTGTTATGAATGCACAATGTTTCGACTTTAATCTCGAAACATTTCGACTTTAATCTCGAAACATTTCGACTTTAATCTCGAAACATTCCGACTTTAATCTCGAAACATTTCGACTTCAATCTCGAAACATTTCGACTTTAATCTCGAAACATTTCGACTTTAATCTCGAAACATTTCGACTTTAATCTCGAAATGCTAGATTTTTTTTTTTTTTTTTTTTTTTTTTTTACAGATTTTTTTTTTACAGATTTTTTTTTTTTTTACAGATTTTTTTTTTTTTTTAGGTTGCGGTTCAGGGCTTCCGTAGTACGTATTCCAGGCTTCACTGACATATGTATAGCTATCACTTGGCAAGAAAACCTTACTTGACACGTTTAGCTTATTGTCTTCACAAAACTGGATTAAATGCTGACCAAATAAGGACTTCACATCAGAAATGTCGGCATTAAAATCACCCATTACATAAATACAAGTACATTCACTTTCTTCTATAAAAGAACCAATAAAGGCAAGTCTTAATAAACAGCTTCATTATCATGACATTCAAATGGTGTGTAAATATTCAAAATAATAAAAACATTATTGCCCAAAATAAATTTTACACCTATGCACCAATCGACATTCAGTCTAATCACACTAATAACTGGATCATATTTCTTTCGCCACAATATGGCCACACCTCCAGGTATTCGACCACGCACTATCCCCAAGCTCAAGTCTGTTGTAGACTTGTTGGAGTTAAGCCCCTCCAAATCTTGCTTCGAGAGCCAAGTTTCCTGTATACACAGAATATTAGTGTTCTCAAGCAGTTGATCAACAACCAACCGCCGGGCTTTGTCCGCTGCATTTTGTCCTAGTCGCAGACCCCGAGTGTTATGTTACGACCCTCATAGATATTTAAATCAGAGGCGCATTCATCTCTGCATCCCCAAAAGCCACTATTGCCTTGGGTTTACGCACTTCATAGTAACGTCGCACAAATGCACCCTCTGGCCACAAAGCCGGGTCATACATATCTTTAACATCATCACACTCTGCAACAACTTTAAACGAGCTGTATCTACTCTGTGATGAGTCTATCTTTGTGCAGGTAACTTCGCGACCAAGTTTTTTTCGTAGGTAAAATGAGAGCGTGTCTGCCTCTAGTTCAGGCGCAAAACTCGTAGCAAAGACACTCACCATTTTCGTCCTCACTGTTCGAATGCTACTCCCCGGGCCGGTTCCAACAATGCCACTTCTCTTTTCCCGTTGCTGTGGCCTATTCAGTCGGGGCTTAGGTCTCCCCGAGGTAGCAGCCGAGTGAGGTCTGTGACGTTTGGCTACGGTACTCCATAAAGCAACTGCAGTCGATGTGTTAGCATCCCCTTCCGCCGTACTTTCCGCTGTGTGCGCACTATACATAGGCTGAGCCGGTGCAATTATTGATTCCTAGGTTTATTTTGTTATGAATAAACAAATGTGCAATATATAAAGGAAAAACCTTACAATTAAAGTTGTAATGTTATAATGTTCAAGTTTTTGTTCTAAAAAAAGAAAGATGCACACAGAAAATGACTCTAATATGACCAAATTGATTGATTCGAAGATATTTAGTTTGTTACAAACAATATGCAATCTGTAAAACAAAAACCTCAAAATTATAGTTGAAATGGTATACTGATGGAATTTTTTTGACCTTTAGAAAAAGCTTAAAGTATAGACCAACAAATTGTATGTTTATTAATTTATTTCATGTTGGTACATTTTTGGGAAGTACACCTGTTTTGGAATGGACAAAAAAAAAATCACAATGAAAGCAATTATATAAAAACATTTTTTCATTTGTTTTCATTTATAGAAACCTCATGAGCTGGGAAAATGTAGTTTTATATTTTTCAGAAACTTGAAACATATTTCAGGTCTGAGGGGGTTAATTTTGCATATTTGGCATAATTCAATATTGGCAAATCTTAAATGTACAACTACATACATACAAATCTAATACAATGTGAGAAATAAAACACCAGTTTTAAAAGATGAGATAAAAAAAACAGTAGTCCTAAAGATAACAGTTGGAAAACAGTTTCTCTGTCTAATGGAAAACTAGTTTAACATTAGACAGAACATTCACTGTATGTGTACTGAAATATGTATGTGAAACCTTGGTAAGACTTTACAAAAGTTACATTTATTAAGTAATAATTAAAAGGAAAAATTTTACAGCATTTAGCAATCTTGATCACTTTTATATAAATAAATGTCAATTTATACAACTTGAAAAGTTTTATATATATATATATATATATATAAAATTAGAAATGAACAATGATTTTGTTTTTTTTAAACGCTCAATGTAATTTCATGTTAGCAATTGCAAAAAACTCTTGGTGAACGTATTGAAACTTATTGTAAATTATTATCAGTTTATTAAGTAAAGGAGATGTAAAAATAATTTCAGCACTTTCTACAAGACACATTTTTGCCTTTGAATAAACATAACAATTTAAATAATCATGCTAGAACCAGAAATTTCTGATATTTTTCCAGTTCGACAACATCACAGCTCACTCACTCAAAGGCACTGAAATCGCTGGGCCTTTTGGATCATCAAAGCGGTCCATGGTGTGAATCTGCATGATCATGTGCAGGCCGTAGGTAAGAATGAGCACCATGAGCAGAGAGGTCAGCAGGCCCATCCAAATCCCCGGAGTGAAGAACCCTGCACAATCGCTGGCATACGAGAACATTTCACCTGTAACGTTGAAACCTTGTATCTGTTGGAAAGAAATGATGCATCAATCAGCTGCATTTTTTTTGTGCACTGCAATTCAGAATTTTCACATGACATTATGTCACATCCTTGTAGGAATGCCCATCTAGAGGGTAAAACGTTTTTACCAGGTTTGTACTAAGTACAAATGTAATAAGACAGTGACATTAAAAGACCACTTTTAATAAACACCGTATTGAATGAGCACAAAAGAAGATAAACCCCACGTGCAGTTTCTACATTAAGAGGTTTCCATAGCAAACCATTAAAGAAATGCTTAACTATTTAGTGTGTTGTGTTCATATTCTGGGTTCGCCTATGTTTAGTATGGATAATCAATGAGGCGCATTACTGAATTTGTTTTTTTAATAACACTGGTTTAGATAACATGAACTAAGAATGAATACTTCTACAGTATTTATTCATCTTAGTTAATATTAATTTTTAAAATGTACTAATACATTATTAAAACCAAAGGTTGTTTGTTAACATTAGTTAATACACCATGAACAAACAATTAACAGCTGTATTTTATATCAACTAATATTAATAAATACTGTAACAAATGTATTGCTCATTGTTAGTTCATATTAGTTAACACATTAAACTAATTAAACTTTTTGTAAAGTGTTACCCGCATTTTAGAATGTCCTGCTGTTTTTAGTGAATGAAACTGCGACAGGTGCTGTTGTATATGGATTATATGTGCCCAAAACCTGCACTTTGTTGATCTTTTTGTTTTTCTTCTTTTAAGAGGTAATCTAAATATTCGTGGCTTGAAACAGATGGAAAATTGACATGCCTGTTCAATGAATGTTTTTCTCTCCAGGTCTCCACGTCAGTCATGGATCTGTGAACTATAGTAGTACCTGAAAATCAGTGAAGGTCAGCTTCCATTGGGTGGCGTTGTCCGTAGCATTGCGAGGCACCAGCAGGGGGCTCTGAACACTGCTTACGTTCTGGCAATGGAAAGAATACTCTGCAGGAGCGTAGACACCACCACTGGCGTTAAAGATCGCCCTCTGTCCGTCATACTCCAGCACCACCTGCTCCATGACCGTCCAGTTGCGAGCAGACACAGGAAAGAAGATCTTGCGCATAGCAAAGCTTTAGGGAAGTATTAAAAAAGTCAAATAGTCAAAAGTCTCTTTTAGAGAGCATGCACATCACATCCAACAGCAGCAGCGAATCCTGTTCGTCAAAACCACAAATGATCAATGTCAGTGGACGGATTATGTGTTAAATACTTACATAAGCTTGAAGGATTGGAAACTCAGAACACTTTGGTAATTCAGGACGAGTCTGAAAAACAAATATTTGATACGTTTAAGAAACAGCAGTGAACGATGTTGAAATGTATACTGATTACTGCTTGATAATGCTTGTTCTAACCTTGACAGTGTTTCATTGCAAACTGAACCAGTCAGGTCAGGAGCTGCAGAAGAACCATTAAAAATGTCTTTTCCCAAATCTATTTCATTTCCTTGGAAGCTAGCGAGGAGAGTGTCAGCCCATAGCAAGATGCAGGGTTGCCCCACTGTGTTGTTGAAGACAACTGGAGGTTTCACAGACGGCGATGATGGTGCCTGAAGTAGTGATCTGGCCATAAAATTTCCTGACATTACTGGGGTATCCTCAATGACCTATACAAGAAGGATAAATTACAAAAAAAGACTCATAATTTAGAAACAATGTTAGCACAACTTACAAGACACCCATTGTTATTAAACCCCACTGGGTGTACAGTGTGAAATATGGTGTGAGAATGTTATGTATATTATGTATAAGTTCTGTATACATAAACTTGATAGCACATATGACAATATTATGAGGATGCGCAATCCTATACCCTTTACGTATTGTGTGCTGTGTTCTTTCAGTCAATAACACCGACAACGGAAATAAAGACGTTAATGCAGGGTTTAGGAATGTACAGTGTGTAACGACAGTTTATGAACACCAGGGATTAATTGTTAACCATGGGTAAATTATGAACATTGAAAAGTGAAGCAAGATAACCAAGGAATCCATTTACCTGGGGTTTCCAATGAACCAGTGACTAATGACTAATTATTTCAAGTGTGAATGTGACAAGCCATATAGCGTGAGAGGCAAAAGAGGCAAAAGCATCTGCTAAATCAATAAATGTAAATCTGATCACTTACTCTGGAGGGCTTGAGGCCAGTGTATACAGCGGTGTAAGGCACGTCCTGAGACTTGAACAGATCAAGGACCTTTCCAATGATCTCATCTAAAAGAAAATAAAAGAAATATTACATACTATACCACAGCAATGCTGATGAACACATGGCATCAAATTAGAATTTAACACATATATATATATATATATATATATATATAAAATTAATTATCCAAAAAGAAACATAACTACTCACCATTTTTCAAAAGCAATTCCTTTGATTGAGCCCTGATATTTCAACAAAGCAAAGTCAAAGGGTTATTTTTTTATTATTTATATAATATTATAGTATTTATTCATTCTAGTGCAATGCCCGTGCAAAATCATTTTTTGTGTGTTTTTAGTAATTGTTGGTTTGGGATCTTTAAGTTGCTGAATAGCCTAGGCTACTATTACACATGAGCCAAAACTCTGAGAAAACTATAACATTAAGAATAAAATACAATATTCAGAATTAAACAGTGTAGCTGACTGACTGAGATTTCTTTTGAAAGACTGACTTTTTAAAAAAAAAGAATGACTATTTTTCCAAAAGTGAATGGCTACTTCTTCAAAAAGGAATCGATACTTTTTCATAGTTCTATACAGTTTATATATAGTTTTTCGTAGTTCTATGCATAGTTATGAAACTGTATCGTTAAATTGTAATAAATGTTAATATTGTATTATATATTGTATAACTACATTTTTACACAACTTTTTCCAAAAATCGCTACTTTTTCAAAAAGAATTGCTACTTTTTCAAAAATAATTTAACAAAATAATAACAAAATAAAATAACTCAAATTAAAGTTTGAAATCCATCGCAACGGTTCAAGATATTCGATTAACAGACAGACGTTCCCGTAATTTATAGATAGATTTGAAATATTTTTCATTTTAATTTTAGCTTAAATTTTATTTATTTATTGTGCTTTTGGAAATTTTTTGAAACATTTATATTTAGCTTTCATTTATTTTTAATTTTTCAGTTTTAATTAATTAATAGTAATTTTAATACTTCAACTTATTTTAAGTTAGTGAAGTGCAACATATCAAATTATCAGAACTAAGTTTAAGTTTTTAATACAATACTTATAATTGATTTTATTTCAACTTTCTAATTGTTTTTATTAATAAGAAAAAAAACTGCAAACAGAACAAAGAAGGGTAGTTAACATTATTGAAAAGTGCCTTGCAAAAGCATACAGACATAAACCAATTCCATCATTCTACTGAAATTTTATGCTTTTGTATTGTTTTTGTTTTTTTTGAAGCTCTGAAACACAATTTGGCATCGCAATGTGGATTTGGACAATTTTGAATTGATGAAACTCTGTATGTAATATAAATAGCATTACAGAACATCTTACCCAGCAGTGTAAGGGAGATGGACAGCCAGCAGTGAAGGCTGTGCGGTATTCGGCTTGATTTCCTTTAGGATGCTTGGGTTGATGTGGACTGCTAGGATACCCAGCTCTCCCAGGAATAGTTCCAGGACTGAATCCGATGCAGACCAGTCCAATGCTGGCAGCATCAGAGGACTAGAGGATGTCTGAAGTGCTGACTTGAATACCAGGAGAGAAAAATTGAAGAGAATTTTAAAGAAAAATCTAGACGTGATATTTTGAGGATTAAAAATTATAAAGGGCACACCCACCTCTACATTTAAAAAGACACTGTCTTGTTTGTTCCCAAAAACTCCGCCGTACATGGTGAAGTCATCTATACTTAGCTATATAGTGGGGAGAGCAGGCAACAATAGTCAGTTGTTACATGACATGGCATAAATGTTTGGTATGTTTTTTTAATATTTTACAAATATTAAAATTTATATATATATATATATATATATATTTATAAAATATATATATACTTTGTATATATATATATATATATATATATATACACACTCACAGTCGTGCCCAGAATTAATCATACCCCTGGTAAATATGATCAAAAATGGCTCTAAAAAATAAAACTTCATCGTTTGTCCTTTTGATCTTTCATTCATAAAATTGGCAAAATCCTAACCTTTCGTTTAAGTAAAAGAATTGAAAGTGGGGGGGAAATCACATAATAAAATAAATGTTTTTCTCCAAAACACATTGGCCACAATTATTCATACCCCTAGATTTTTTTATGAATAAAATATCTATGAAGTATATTCCCATTAATATTTACCTTTTTTTACATGAAATTGTCCAGCCATGACTTCTTGTTTCACAGGAGTTTAAATATGAGGAAGCATAAAGGCCAAATTCCCTGAATCATCCATTACAGTGAATAAAACCAAAGAACATGGTTCTTCTGATGTGCATCAAAAGATTGTTGAGCTTCACAAAATAGAAAGTGGATGTAAGAAAATAGCTAAAGAATTGAAAATTCCCATTTTGACCAGCAGGGCAATAATTAAAAGTTTTAATCAACTAAAGATGTTACTTAATAATAAATAATTTCTGCTAGAAATATTATGATGGGCCGTGGTTGGATATTCCATCTGGACAATGATCCAAAACAAACATCAAAATCAACACAAAAAATGTGTTAGGGAGCACAAAATTAAGCTTCTGCCATGACCGTCCCAGACCCTGACCTGAACCATATAAAAAATGAGTGGTCTGAACTGAAGAGAAGAAGCACCAACATGGATCTGGGAATCTGAAGGATCTGGAGAGAGTCTGTAAGGAGGAATGGTCTCTGACCTCTTGTCAGGTGTTCTCCAAACTCATCAGGCATTATAGCAGAAAACTCAAAAAGGAGATTGCAAAAAGGTATTTAATAAAAGGGTATGAATAATTATGGCCAACGTGTTTTGGAGAAAAACATTTATTTTATAATGTGATTTCCCCCGCACTTTCAATTCTTTTACTTAAACGAAAGGTAAGGATTTTGCCAATTTTTTTGAATGAAAGATCAAAAGGATAAACAATGCGGATTTATTTTTTACTGCCATTTTTTTTATAATATTTACCAGGGGTATGATTAATTCTGGTCATGACTGTATATATATATATATATATATATATATATATATATATAGTACTTTTAGTATTTAAAAGAAAATTAAAAAAAACATTTGATAGCTATATTTCAAATACCAAAAACGTGTTCTATAAATTTATAGTCTTGTCATTGAAACATGTATAGTCTTGTAATTTTTCCAATAACGACATTGATTCAGATTACATATACACTGATAATACCTACCAATCATACTTGTTTGAGCCAATGTTTCTCTGGTGTTTAATATTGCAACTTTTGTCATGTCAATGCACAAATGATCACATTTGTACTGTAATGAAATACTGGTATGTCCAAGGGAAGATGAATGGGGAAGTATGACTGTGGCTCAAAGTCACACTATACTGACAAGTCCAGTATCAACGAGAGTAAAAATATCTGAATTAGAGGAAGAAGCTGCTTTACTAATAATTCTGCAATGTAAAATACATTGCTCCTACATTGATCACACAGTAAACTGTTTTTATATCCCACTTTATCTCTTAAAGCAGATCAAAACACAAGAATGCATTAGGGTGGCATTATCTCCCCCACATGTTAAACATATGAAGGCTTTTTACCTGATCCTGTAAGAAGAGCAGCACATTGTGAGGAGCAGTGGACAAGGCAGATTTCAGATAAGACACCAGCTGCCCACCAGACACAGCCTGACCAGCTGCTGGTTGAGCCAGATGTGGCATACTGTAGCTGTATTGACACAGACATCATTCAGTTTGCAAATCTTCTCAACAGAAACAGGATGACATGAAACTTTGTCCACAGTAATCAGCCTCTAACAAGCCCTTTGTTTCCAATTTATCGACAGTCTACCAAGTCACTAGTGAAAGTTGATTCGGCTGCCTGAACACATATAAGAAAGCCACAGCAATGTTCTGGTGTACTATTTAACAATGTAAAAGCAATATTCCAAAAAAACAAACGTGTCACGTACCCATTACTGGTCCACATGAGCAGAGGCACTTGAGCATAACAGCTATAAATCGAAAAGATAAATAATAAAACTGAAGTAAAGGCCATTGTCGACAGACTACTACGCCGCACTCCTACTTCCGTCATTATTAGGGAGAGTCACGTGAATGTCAGAGCGCTGATGATCACGTGACTCTGTTTTTTCATTCTTCTATCATGTGGTTCCCTTCTGACTCGATTCGTTCCTATGATTCGTTCTCGTCTCTGAGCAGCGCGCAGGCGCAAGATGATCTTATGGATATTTGTATTATTTTTTCTAGGGCAACGTGTTTGAAAAGGAAAACGAATATACACTGTACAATCATTAATTTAACTTCATCATTAATATCTATCTATCTATCTATCTATCTATCTATCTATCTATCTATCTATCTATCTATCTATCTATCTATCTGTCTGTCTGTCTGTCTGTCTGTCTGTCCTCAGAAAGAGAAGGTGCAGAGCCCCGCTGTACATTGTACAAAAAATAAACTGTAAAAAAAGGTTGCCCACATTGAAAACTATTTATTTATCAAAAAGGTTATTTTATTCAAACTGCACGATCCCTTTTACTGTATGAATCAATCTTGGTCAGCCCTCGCTATTTTTCACCTGGAGTGTAATAGGACTGTAGCCTACTTTCAGGACCGCTTTATTTAGCTGAAATAGGCTATGACAGCCTCTGTCATATATATTTTCATTTTAATCAAGCAAGCTTATCTTAACAGATCCCTTATTACTATGAGCATTAATATAAAACAAGAATTTGCGTTTAGCACTAAACACAGCTCTCACCTTTATCATCAGCACTTAACTGTAATTCATGCGTTATTGAGAAAATCTTCATCCTCAGTGTTGTTGGCGGAGGGATATCTGATAATGTGACTGCACCCTGTGCCATTCAGCTGTAGGATGGGGACATGAAAAGTAAATAACTTAAGACTATTCGGGATTTGAATTATCGCTATTTTTTGAAGCACTTGTACTTGTGGCTGATTTGTAATAGTGGGTTGATTACATTCAGAACAACTGTGATCCTCTCCGTTTTAGGAGGTGCACTATATTATTTTGCGAATGTGTCCGCACCGCTGGAGCCCGTGCTGCGGTCAGGGCCATCTTTGGTTGTTCTCGCCGGTCGCGACTCGCACCACAGTCAGTGAACAATTGTGATACGTATCAAATCATTCGAGCGATAACTGTTTGCAAAGAGTTCGTTTTACTGTCGGTAATAGGACAACAGACTGATTTTGCATAAATATTTCATTGCATCAACACCGTTTTGCAGATTTTTTTTGCAGCGGAAATTTGGCTAAAGAAGGGAGATCCACTGTAATAACGTTACAACATGGATGAGGAATATGATGTTATCGTATTGGGCACCGGACTCACAGTGAGTAACGCATTCAGGTCACTAATGACTCAGATGAAACAGATGATGATATTGTCGATTGATGCTCGTATGCTTATGCTGTTATCAGAGATGTGACTGTAGGAATAGATGCTTTGCGTTAGATTGAACCTGAGGGCCTATTGCTGACGCATCCTTTGGACCAGTATACTGTGTGTAGTGATCCAGTATTTATCGTCATTTCTACCTGTATACAAGTGCAATCCTTCCCAATTACGTCTTCCCCCGCAATTTCAAAGCCATTGCGGCTGCATCATTACATTGACATGACAGCGGTGATTAAAAAGTAATGACTGATTCAGTGTCTGGTTCTAAGGAGTGGCATCAGGTATCCCGTTTGCTCGTGCGTCGAAAGAGGGGAACATAATGTGTTTAGAGCATATATTTCGCCTTTTACGGGGTCGCCAACGCCGCGAAGCTGTATTGTGCTTAACTGATGTCAGTTCATAGGTTCCTTGCAATTCATCCGTTTTGGACAGGGTTTAGTGGATTTTTTTGTTATTGATATATTTTAAAGGGCCAAATTGAAAAAAAAAACGGGAACGTGATATAGGAAAAATACGTGCAAAATGCAGCATTACTACTAATCAAAAGAACGATAAAAACAGATATGTTTTTACATTATACGTTTCTCTATTTTTCTCATGGAGGATTGTGGGCTGATCTGGGCTGCGGCTCGTGGCTGGATGGGTGTAGCGGTGTCCGAATCAGCAACGAATTGTTCTTTAGAGTCGAATCTTTTCAATTAATCTACCCGAGGGGTTTCGCAGTTATCGAACAGACGTTTTTTTTTTTTTAAATACGTACTGGAAATATGTTTACGATTTGATTATATGATAGTTCTAGCACACAAAGAATTGAATTAAAAAAAAAAAATCAGCCAAGATGTAAATTATAGTAGCCTGTTTTAATGTAAATATCGATCATATTTAGGTTCTAGATTTTTTTTCACGGCTGGAACAAACTGAACTGGAACTCTCAAAATTACAATAATCATATTTCACGAAATTGGCCCCGCTAGGATGTCAGAATGACGTAAACGAATCATAGAATAATTTGGTTTGAGGACCGCTTCATTACACCGAGAACTGTTTAAATGAACCGATTCGCGGAAATGACTCGGACTTTCCATCACTAGTTGGGTGGGGTGACTCGCATCCCAGTGTTCAACGCGGAAGTCAAGGCTATACCGGCGCACATCTCAGCATATATATATATATATATATATATATATATATATATATATATATATATATATATATATATATATATATAAATCCATCACAGATTATTTCAACTGAATGATGTTTATTTGTGTAGGAATGTATTCTCTCTGGGATCATGTCCGTGAATGGGAAGAAAGTTTTGCATATGGACAGAAATCCATACTACGGTGGTGAAAGTTCCTCTATCACACCCCTGGAGGAGGTCATTTATTACTTATTTCATGTCTGCTTGATTTTACACACATTAACCATGAAATGATTTTGTCGAAGAATAAAAGTATAATAAAAATCTGTGTATTTCTACATAAATTAATATTCTATTCTATATTCATTTTAAATGTATATAAAAAATGAATAGTATGTACTTATTAAAAAAATATGAATGGACACCCTTTACAAAAATATTATCATATGATATTTAAATGTTGCATTTATCCTTGTTTTTTATGCATGCACTCACATTTTACATGCCTTTTTTTCTCAGCTGTACAAGAGATTTGGGATTTCAGACAGCCCCCCAGAGTCAATGGGCCGAGGAAGAGACTGGAATGTGGACCTTATTCCTAAATTCTTAATGGCCAATGGTAAAAATACTTATGTAGCATAATTGCTGGTGTGAGAATATTTTTCGAAACATGTTTGGGGATTAGATTGTTGCCCCTTAATTCATGTAATTTTGTAATTTTTCTGTTAGCAACTTTCTGAATAATGATGCACAATCACATTTTGTCATTGTTATCTTCCTTAAGGTCAATTAGTTAAGATGCTTCTATACACTGAAGTGACCAGATATCTTGACTTCAAAGTGGTTGAGGGAAGCTTCGTGTATAAAGGGGGAAAAATCTACAAAGTGCCCTCTACTGAGACAGAGGCACTGGCTTCAAGTGAGTACAGCTACACTGGAAAGAAAATGGTGTAGGATTCTTTTTTACTCAGATATTGCTTGTAAATTAATAAATAATTACAAAAGAAATGGCAAGTAACACACTGAATTGAAATAAAATTTTGAAGTAGAAAGACTAAAATAGTATTTTCGTGTCAAACGTACTCCAATTATCTTTTATTTATAACTTCGGAAAAGTTTTTTTTTTTTTTTTTTACAGTTTGGTATATTGACTGTAGGAATAAATCAAGAATTTATATACAGACTTGTATAGATGACACAAAATATGTGTTGCTTAGACCTAATGGGAATGTTTGAGAAGAGACGTTTCCGGAAGTTCCTAGTTTTTGTGGCCAACTTTGATGAGAATGACCCCAAGACCTTTGAGGGTGTCGATCCCAAACTTACAACAATGGGAGAAGTGTACAAGAAGTTTGACTTAGGACAGGACGTCGTAGACTTCACTGGACATGCCCTGGCCCTCTACAGGACAGATGAGTAAGTGTCAGTGTTACAAAACCTCATAGTGTATACAAATCTTATAAAACATTATTTAAAGCAACACGCTACAGCCATAATCATTTTTACACATTTAAGTTTTTTACTACACTTCATTTGTTTATGTCTGAAGATTTTAATAACAACAGATCTTGTAAAAGGCCATTTCATATCTATATTCTGAAAGGTTTTTAGAGAGGGGTCTTATCTTATATCATTTGCCTTAATTATTTAACATTTTATTCCTGTCCGAAATCCAATTATTATTGACCTTTATTTAACCAGACAAGCAACTTAAGAACAAGTTCTTATTTTCAACAACAGCCTGGCCGGAGAGTTAAAATGTCCTCAAAGACACATTAACATATTAACACACACATACATTCTTTTAAAACGTCCCTACTATATAGTATTCGACAAACAGTAGGCGATTAGTCCCTGGATGAGTTACTACTTACAGTAAGATTCTATCCCACGAGGCCACTGGAGGGGATTTATGAATGGAAGTGAATCAATGCAGCTAAAGCTGGTAGGTCACATTACAGTAACAATATGGTGAATGTAGTATTATGTCTGAATTTCATTCATATAGAACATACTTTTTTAATGGTTGCGCAGTAAATTCAAATGTAGTACCTACTCAGACAGTACACAATATTGGATGCAGTGATGGTGATTTGTTTTCTTTTTTTCTAGTATTTTTTTGATTTATAGAGTCATTAAAAATATATATCCCCTCTGTAAAAACTCTCTAACCCTCTAACATCCCCTCTGTAAAAACCTTTAACTCTAATGTCAACCAAAAAATATTTCTAATACTAAGCAGCAGTACTTTACAGTGATTAAGCTACAGGGTGTCATCTATTATTCATTCACCTGATGTGTCTTGGCTTAATGTCAACAAATAACAATGAAGTATTTTGCATTGATGATAAATGTATTGAATTGAATTCCTCCTAGTTACCTGGAGCAGCCGTGCCTGGAGACCATCAATAGGATCAAACTCTACAGTGAATCTCTGGCACGTTACGGAAAGAGCCCCTACCTGTACCCCCTGTACGGACTGGGGGAGCTGCCTCAGGGGTTTGCTAGGTTAGTGGTCCCTCCCACACCCAATCATTCTCAAGTAATCATGTTGAGTGTCACTGTGAAGCCCTTATGTTTTAAACATGGGCTTTTTGAACTTACAGGTTAAGTGCTATTTATGGAGGAACATACATGCTGAACAAACCAGTGGATGAGATAGTGATGGAGGGAGGACATGTGGTGGGCGTGAAATCAGAAGGAGAGGTACTTTTTTTGCTTAGTTTTTGAAGTGGGATATGACCATAAACTGTAAAAGACGACATGTCTTCACTTCCTTCCACTGTAGAAAAATAAAGCCAAAATGTCCCAGAAATGGCAGCTGCCATCTTGTGCTGATGACATCATTTGGAGCCAGAGTCTCTGCCGTAGCGATCGTGAGGTGGAGCCGCGGTATCAAGGTCCCGCCCAAACTCCCGCAGACTCAATCGCAAGCAAATCTGCCAATCATGAGGCTACATCTCATTTTTATAGCATCAAATAATTAACTAAAACGAACATTTCAACATATATCAGCGTCATAAGAACTACTTAAATTGACAAAAAATGTGCAATTTTTTTCAAGTTTGTCTCATGTCCCAGTCGTTTACTTGGAGAGGGCGGAGTTAATGACCTATACTGCAGCCAGCCACTACGGGGCGATCAAAAATGTTTTGGCTTCACTTTTCAGGACGTGTGCGGCCCACTTGGATATAACAAACTTCTTTTATTGAACAAAATTAAGAAAATAAAATAATTTATTATTACAAAGGGATAAGGCGGGGATTTTCTTTGGAAAAGTTTGAGACAGAATTTATGTTTGAATTTCTTTTCCAAGGTTGCCCGATGCAAACAGCTCATCTGTGACCCAAGCTACATAGCGGACCGTGTGCACAAAGTAGGCCAGGTGATCAGGGTCATCTGCGTCCTCAGCCATCCCATTAAAAACACTAATGATGCCAATTCCTGCCAGATCATCATCCCCCAGAACCAAGTTAACCGCAAATCAGGTTTGTGAAAGCTCTTGTTGATTCTTGTGGTATTTGTATAAAAGGGGAATATTTGCAGAGAATGATTTGCAGGATAAACAAAGATGCATGTGCATTCAGGTAGGCACTACTGTGCAGACACCACTAGAGGGTGCTGCTTACTTTTATTTAAAAAATAAGCTGACCTGCTTATGTCATGAAAAGCTCATGCTTATTTTGTTGTTATTTGCATGTAGATATCTATGTTTGCATGATCTCCTACGCCCATAACGTGGCGGCTCAGGGGAAATACATTGCCATCGTAAGCACCACTGTGGAAACATCTGATCCTGAAGCTGAAATCGAACCTGCTCTGGAACTCATCGAGCCCATTGATCAAAAGTTAGTTTACCTTGCTTTCTATAGTAAAAAACAAAACAAAAAAAGTTCCACAACACAACTGCAAATCTTGATTACAGTTTTGTCAATTATTTTAATGAAAGTTCTTATCAAACAACGTGGGTCAGAATAAGTAGACTATTTAGTTTTAACTACACTCCTCACTCATGGCTGCACTGCAGTCATTAAATGCAATGATTGTTTGTATTATTATTTTGTCATTTTTACAGGTTTGTGGCCATCAGTGACATGTATGAACCCACAGATGATGGGACAGACAGTCAGGTCAGCTTTTGTCTGTTATTTTAATATTCTTTATTTACTATTATCAGTGTTGGTGAAGTTACTTTTAAAAAGTAGTGTAGTATGTTACTCGTTACTTCTTTGAAAAAGGAATCTGTTACTTTACTTAGTTACCTACCATATGGAAAGTAACTTCTTAGGTTACTCGTTACTTTTGCATTACTTTTATATTGCTTGACTGGGCAGAACCCAATATCTGTTCCTAAATGATCAAAAATAATTTCTGGAAGCAATTATATTCAGGCTGTATTCTATGGAAGTCCTAAACTACATGGTGAAGAAAAAAAAGAAAACTTATCTTGTTATTTCGGCATAATAAGGGGACATTCTAATCTGTTGCGCATGAACTGGAGTGCACCTCATCATAAATGAACCGAAACTCAGCGTATGCCTCATGGACATGATAAATATATCTCTCTCTATATATATGTATAAAGCTTGAAATGTCTTTAAATAAAACAAGGCATTTCTCTCTGTAGGCGTTCACTATATGGCGATCCCTATCAAATTCGCTGTCAAATCGCTGAAGACGTTTTTATTCAGAAAGGCGTTTTTGTACTGATTGTTTTATTATTGTTTTTAATTACTGTTCTCCTGTGTAGCACTTTGAGATTCTTCGGAATGAAAAGTTTGTTATAAATAAAATATATTATTATTATTATCATTATTATTAAATCGGTCAAATTACGGAGATCGCTGTCAAATCTGTCCCTGGGAAAAGTAACGTTTCGCCGAATTGAAAAAGTAACTACGCTTCGTTACCAAATTTTCAGTAGAAGCGCATTACATTCCTTTTTACCCGAAAAAGTAGTTACGTTACTGTACCGCATTACACACAACACTGACTATTATAAAAATGAAAGCACGTTCAAAAAGTGAATAAATACTATAAATCCTTCCAGGTAATGAAAACCAATTTAATAGCTCTAGATAACAGTAACAAAACTAGCTTTGCAGTAATTTCTTTTTTAAATTCTTGTGCACTTCTTGACCTCTTCAGTCAGAATCAGAAATATAACCAGTTTTGATGTCATTTCTCCAGATATTTGCATCCCGGTCCTATGACGCCACCACTCATTTTGAAACAACTTGTAACGACATCAAGGACATCTACAAGCGGATGACAGGCAGTGACTTCGACTTTGAGAACATGAAGCGTAAACAGAACGACGTCTTCGGCGAGGACGAGCAGTGAGGGGTGGAGAAGTGACAGAGGAGTGGAGAGGCAATGTTCAGATGGAGGGCAGAGATGGGGCGGGCTGAACGGGATTTACTGGGCTAGGTTCAGAGGTCGCGCAGAGCAGAATCGACAATGCAACGACGTTGTAAATCTCTTTCAACCAGCCTTATCTTTCCCAGAGTGCTCTTTGCTCATTGTCTCCACACCCCTTCGGTGTCTCTGTTCAGATACTATTACAGCACACAGACACACAAACGCTCTATCGCTCACATTCCACAACTCTGCACTACAAAGTGGGCTCACACCAACATGCTACTTTAGATTCTTACACAAGCAGTATGCATCGTTTGCGCAAAATATCCTGTTGAAGTGAAACACGTGTATTTTTGTTCTCTGAATATCGTCTTTGACTGAAGCCCATACATGTGAACGATTCCTTGAATATTGAAGGAGATTTCAAACGTTTTCTCATCCACTTTCGTGATGCATCCCCAACAGTCCTCAGACTGTTAGATAGCATACTGTCGTCACTTTGACATTTAACAGCTTCATGTGAACAGCAGCCTTCCTGTTCTTTAGGAAAGTGTCACTGACAAAAGTATAGTAAGATTATTAACCGCTCACCATTAAACACTACATTTTGACACTTGGACAAAGGATGTAATAGTATATGAAATGCATAAGGTTGTCAGAAATTAAACCTGACTTTGCCACATCTAGCAATCAAAAACTGAACTGACAGTCTCATATCACCACATTTCCTATTCCTCACCCTTCTGCTCCTAAGTTATTTCATAGTTATTTAATTATTTTTTATGATTATTGGTGCATATTCAACGAAATTGAATGAGATGTATAATATGCAGTATAGAAGTGAATTGTAAGCCATTAACTTGTAACTAACATTACAATGTTAAAAATATTGTACGGCCTCAGAATTTCGAATGACCTAATTCTACATTCCTCATCCTCCTGCATTCATTTTGTTTGTAGTGAAAACCGATGTTATCAAATGCAAATGTATGCGAAAATACATAACACGTCAATCACTTAGTTTACGGGAAATGAGTCTTAAGAATGTGGAAGCAATTTTCACTTCCACAGCTGCAGAAGTTAATGATAATGTGAATTGAATGGGTATCAGATCTTCTGTTATTGATAGTAGCCATATCCTGTTGGTTTTCTGGCTTTTGTAAACCAGTCTGACTCCAGTCTACTAAATACTACATACATACTTTAACTTTTGATTGTGATGAACACTATGGATTTCTCTGTGTACTGTTAAGCTTTCCTCTGCATCTTAGATTTCTCTTCCATCTTATCAGCGATTGACACATGTAGTTTCTGCATTTACACTTGGCTATTTGAAACCACAAGACAAACTGACTGGTCATTTTCACCATTACTTACGGTATATCTCGATTCATGCTCGTTTTTGTTTCAAAATGAATCGAATTGCCATGAATAGTTATAGTAGACACTAGTCTGGACCAGATGATTTTGAATCCTCACCATACAGCTTTCAGTGTAGCATTTACAAGCATTGTCATGTTGTTTTCCATATTCGCCTTTACTGAGAAAGTTTTTTCCCCTTTTTTATTTTTAATGGAAAACAAGGAGTGTGACAGTTTTTTAACATTCCTGAAGTTTATTGGGCCAAAGTCACTTATGGCCTTATAGATTTCACATAGAAGCATACAGGTCTTGAACTCTCTTCCTTAGTGCACAAATTAGATTGTGAATTATTGATAACTGGAATTAAATAGAATTACGCTGCATTGCTATATTTGTTATCTTTTGCACCTCTCCAGCATATTGTTGCATATGTTTGGATTAACTGTTTTGTACTGTATTTATTTTCATTTTGTCTTTCATTTTCAATGTTGAAACAACTAAACATCTTTAAAAAAAAACTGACACACAAACTCAACAATTTTAAGTTGTGAATTTCATCTCGTGTTTGAGCAGTCTTGTGCAACAAAAATAAATATGAATAAAACGAATCTTTCTTTGGTTATGTTTGATTATTTTCACATATGAAAGATTTCCTTTTCCTTACAGGACAAAGTAAAGCATTCAATACTCGTTAATAATGTAAAAATATTTTTAAATCACAATTCTCTCGTTATATTATTTCAAATGGATGCATATACACATTACATATATCTGTGCAAACTAACTGGAAGCTTAGAAGAAATATTTGATCATTGTGCAATAATCTCATCCCAACGCTATTATTTAATATATTTATTACATTTGAAATGGTTAATTTCGTGATAAAAAGGCACTGATATACACAACCATTCAAAAGTTTGGAGTTGGTAAGATTTTCAGCATCATTACTCCGGTCTTCAGTGTCATAAGATCCTTCAGAAATCCTTTTATGCGCAAGAAACATCAGTGTCAGTTGTGATACTTTTTATCAGGATTCTTTGATGAATAGAAAATTCAAAAGAACATTATGTTTTTGTAACATTTTTGTTGCAGAATGCATCTTTGCAGAATAAACACGTTCACTTCTTTAAAGCTGCAGTCCGCAGTTTTCCCTCTTTGTCGCCACCTCTGTTCAAAATCTGCAATTACAGTTATTCGTAGAATTATCAACTTTACGAGAGTTGTACTTCGACACGGCACAGAGTGGATGAACACAATGTTTGAGGAGAGTGTGCGGCTGCCAGTCACCGTGCTGGTGTGGATATTGGCATTCAGAATCAGATTATTAGGGGCCAAGCACCGAAGGTGCGGAGGCACCTATTGTATCTGTGCCGGTTCTTATTATTATTAGGGGCCAAGCACCGAAGGTGCGGAGGCACCTATTGTATCTGTGCCGGTTCCTATTATTATTATTATTCTTCTTCCGACTGGGCGTCTATGGCAGCCCATAGACCGGTTTGCGGGAAAGTTGTTTTGGTTTGACATTCTGATAGAGGACAGTCCCAACATTAAATACACCAATTTTGGTGTCTCTAACTCATTCCCTCTAGCGCCACCATCTGTCCAAAGTTTCACTTTTATTATGCTAATAACTTTTGAACCGTAAGGCCTATCAACAAAATTCTTTTTTCTTCTTGTTCCTGAGCTCATGCCGATTCGATCGCACCCTATGACGTCATTTTCCGTCATAAAAAATTGGCCGCCATTTTGAATTTTCCAAAAAACCTACTTTTGCGAACTCGTCCTAGACCGTTTGTCCGATTTTCACCAAAATAGCACCGGATAATCTCCAGGCAGTGCTGACAAAAAGTTATGGAAATCAAGATGATTCGCTTAAACGTTTTTGATAAACGCACAAACTAATTTTACGTAACGCTTGCGAAAACAGACGTAAGGCTGTATCTCCGCAATGCTTCATCCTATTCAGACCAAACTTGGTACATGTAATCACAATCATGACTTGAGGCTACATGCAGCGTTTCGGCGCAGCGCCACCTAGTGGTCCGGAGATATGAAAAATGGCTATTTTTGCTCATAACTTCTGAACGGTTTCTCCAAAAATCAAAAACTTGGTCTCGTTAGATTCAGGGCGTCATGCCGAGTCGACCGATATCCAATTTTCCCAGATCGGCCATTTTGGCTGTCGGCCATTTTGAATTATGTGCTAAAATGCTGTATTTTTTGAACGCATGAACGAATTGTTACGAAACTTGGTATGGGTCATCAGTACGATGCCCTGAAGGAGCCTGAGAAGTTTCGAAACAGCGCCACCTAGTGGTGAATTTTTTTTTTCAAACGCTTATAACTTTGGGTGTGGTACACTTATTTTCACGGGAGTCATATTTTTGAGGTCCTGAATCGTTGCCGAGTCCAACGATATCAAATATGTCGGGTTTCGTCTCACGGATGGCGTAGCGTAGCGATTTAGCGCGAAAAAAACACTTGCCGATATCTTCAAAACCGCTGTTCCGATCGAGACGAAACCACCGTCAGAAACACGGAATCATAGCTTGTTAACTATATGTAAATGCCCAAATGCGAAAATATTGATAGTAAGGGGTAGTAAAATTCAAACAAAGTCATGTGTCAGTCATTTTTTACGTGTTTTTTCATATAAATGTTTATAACTCGGAAGCAAATTGAGATATTTTCACCAAAATTGACACACATATGTATGGGGTCACTCTGAGGACACATAAAAAAAATTGTGGGACTGAGCCTCTTGGTGGCGCTATAATAGAACAAAACGTGAATTTCCCATTGACTTCAATACAGTTTTGTGAAATACAATGCTATACTAAACAAATGCTTTGGTCTAACATTACGAAACTCAGTGTGTGCCATAAGCAGCATGCCCTGAAGGTACTCAAAAGATTTTGAGACAGCGCCACCTGTTGGTCAAAAGTTATAATTAATTTCTGAGAACGCTAATAACTTTTGAACAAATTTGCCTATTGCAATGAAACTGATCTTAATAGATTCCTTGGGTTATGCCGAAAACATAGATGTCAGGTTTTGCATAATCAGCTAAACTTCCTGTCCACCATCTTTATTTCTTTGAGAAACCTTCTTTTTCGAACTCCTCCTAGACCGTTTGTCCGATTTTCACGAAAATTGAATCGTATCATCTCCAGACGGTGCCGAATAAAAGTTATGGATTGCGTGACGATAGACAAAACCGTTTTCGTATACCACAGCATCAAATTTGAGGCATGCTGCCAAAATGACTATTCAGGCTTTATCTCTGCAATGCCTTCACATTTTGACACCAAACTTTGTATGTGTCATTGTCACCTCACTCTGACCACATCACATCTATTTCGTAACTGCGCCACCTATTGTTCGAAAGTGATAACCCATTAAATCATATTATAAGTTAATGTTTATGTGATTTTCTTAGCCATTTGCCCAAAGTTCTCTCAAAATGCCCTTAATTGCTCCTTGCTGCAGTTGGTCTGCCACTCCTTGCCATTTTGGCATATGTTGCCGCTTCTTGCGCTTGGCCCCGGTAATGGCTGCTTGCAGCTATATTTATTAGGGGCCAAGCACCGAAGGTGCGGAGGCACCTATTGTATCTGTGCCGGTTCTTATTATTATTATTATTATTATTCTTCTTCCGACTGGGCGTCTATGGCAGCCCATAGACCGGTTTGCGGGAAAGTTGTTTTGGTTTGACATTCTGATAGAGGACAGTCCCAACTTTAAATACACCAATTTTGGTGTCTCTAACTCATTCCCTCTAGCGCCACCAACTGTCCAAAGTTTCACTTTTATTATGCTAATAACTTTTGAACCGTAAGGCCTATCAACAAAATTCTTTTTTCCTCTTGTTCCTGAGCTCATGCCGATTCGATCGCACCCTATGACGTCATTTTCCGTCATAAAAAAACGGCCGCCATTTTGAATTTTCAAAAAAACCTACTTTTGCGAACTCGTCCTAGACGGTTTGTCCGATTTTCACCAAAATCGCACCGGATCATCTCCAGGCAGTGCTGACAAAAAGTTATGGAATTCAAGATGATTCGAATAACCGTTTTCGATAAACGCGTAAACAAAATTTACGTAGCGCTTGCGAAAACAGACGTGAGGTTGTATCTCCGCAACGCTTACTCGTTTTCACACCAAACTTGGTACGTGTTATCACAAGCATGACCTGAGGCTACGTGCTGCGTTTCGGCGCAGTGCCACCTAGTGGTCCGGAGATATGAAAAATGGCTATTTTTGCTCGTAACTTCTGAACGGTTTGTCCAAAAATCATAAATTTGGTCTCGTTAGATTCAGGGCGTCATGCCGAGTCCACCGATATGCAATTTTCCCAGAACGGCCATTTTGGCGGTCGGCCATTTTGAATTATGTGCTAAAATGCTGTATTTTTTGAACGCATGAACGAATTGTTACGAAACTTGGTATGGGTCATCAGTACGATGCCCTGAAGGAGCCTGAGAAGTTTCGAAACAGCGCCACCTAGTGGTGAATTTTTTTTTTCAAACGCTTATAACTTTGGGTGTGGTACACTTATTTTCACGGGAGTCATATTTTTGAGGTCCTGAATCGTTGCCGAGTCCAACGATATCAAATATGTCGGGTTTCGTCTCACGGATGGCGTAGCGTAGCGATTTAGCGCGAAAAAAACACTTGCCGATATCTTCAAAACCGCTGTTCCGATCGAGACGAAACCACCGTCAGAAACACGGAATCATAGCTTGTTAACTATATGTAAATGCCCAAATGCGAAAATATTGATAGTAAGGGGTAGTAAAATTCAAACAAAGTCATGTGTCAGTCATTTTTTACGTGTTTTTTCATATAAATGTTTATAACTCGGAAGCAAATTGAGATATTTTCACCAAAATTGACACACATATGTATGGGGTCACTCTGAGGACACATAAAAAAAATTGTGGGACTGAGCCTCTTGGTGGCGCTATAATAGAACAAAACGTGAATTTCCCATTGACTTCAATACAGTTTTGTGAAATACAATGCTATACTAAACAAATGCTTTGGTCTAACATTACGAAACTCAGTGTGTGCCATAAGCAGCATGCCCTGAAGGTACTCAAAAGATTTTGAGACAGCGCCACCTGTTGGTCAAAAGTTATAATTAATTTCTGAGAACGCTAATAACTTTTGAATAAATTTGCCTATTGCAATGAAACTGATCTTAATAGATTCCTTCTGTTATGCCGAAAACATAGATATCAGGTTTTCCATAATCAGACAAACTTCCTGTTCGTCATCTTTATTTCTTTGAAAAACCTTCTTTTTCGAACTCCTCCTAGACCGTTTGTCCGATTTTCACGAAAATTGAATCGTATCATCTCCAGACCGTGCCGACTAAAAGTTATGAATTGCACGATGATAGACAAAACCGTTTTCGTATACCACAGCGTCAAAATGTAGGCATGCTGCCAAAATTACTATTTAGGCTTTATCTCTGCAATGCCTTCACATTTTGACACCAAACTTTGCATGTGTCATTGTCACCTCACTCTGACCACATCACATCTATTTCGTAACTGCGCCACCTATTGTTCGAAAGTGATAACCCATTAAATCATCTTATAAGTTAATGTTTATGTGATTTTCTTAGCCATTTGCCCAAAGTTCTCTCAAAATGCCCTTAATTGCTCCTTGCTGCAGTTGGTCTGCCACTCCTTGCCATTTTGGCATATGTTGCCGCTTCTTGCGCTTGGCCCCGGTAATGGCTGCTTGCAGCTATATTTATTATTATTATTATTCTTCTTCCGACTGGGCGTCTATGGCAGCCCATAGACCGGTTTGCGGGAAAGTTGTTTTGGTTTGACATTCTGATAGAGGACAGTCCCAACTTTAAATACACCAATTTTGGTGTCTCTAACTCATTCCCTCTAGCGCCACCAACTGTCCAAAGTTTCACTTTTATTATGCTAATAACTTTTGAACCGTAAGGCCTATCAACAAAATTCTTTTTTCCTCTTGTTCCTGAGCTCATGCCGATTCGATCGCACCCTATGACGCCATTTTCCGTCATAAAAAAACGGCCGCCATTTTGAATTTTCCAAAAAACCTACTTTTGCGAACTCGTCCTAGACGGTTTGTCCGATTTTCACCAAAATCGCACCGGATCATCTCCAGGCAGTGCTGACAAAAAGTTATGGAATTCAAGATGATTCGAATAACCGTTTTCGATAAACGCGTAAACAAAATTTACGTAGCGCTTGCAAAAACAGACGTGAGGTTGTATCTCCGCAACGCTTACTCGTTTTCACACCAAACTTGGTACGTGTTATCACAAGCATGACCTGAGGCTACGTGCTGCGTTTCGGCGCAGCGCCACCTAGTGGTCCGGAGATATGAAAAATGGCTATTTTTGCTCGTAACTTCTGAACGGTTTCTCCAAAAATCAAAAACTTGGTCTCGTTAGATTCAGGGCGTCATGCCGAGTCGACCGATATCCAATTTTCCCAGATCGGCCATTTTGGCTGTCGGCCATTTTGAATTATGTGCTAAAATGCTGTATTTTTTGAACGCATGAACGAATTGTTACGAAACTCGTTATGGGTCATCAGTACGATGCCCTGAAGGAGCCTGAGAAGTTTCGAAACAGCGCCACCTAGTGGTGAATTGTTTTATTCAAACGCTTATAACTTTGGGTGTGGTACACTTATTTTCACGGGAGTCATGTTTTTGAGGTCCTGAATCGTTGCCGAGTCCAACGATACCAAATATGTCGGGTTTCGTCTCACGGATGGCGTAGCGTAGCGATTTAGCGCGAAAAAAACACTTGGCGATATCTTCAAAACCGCTGTTCCGATCGAGACGAAACCACCGCCAGAAACACGGAATCATAGCTTGTTAACTATATGCTAATGCCCAAATGCGTAAATATTGATAGTAAGGGGTAGTAAAATTCAAACAAAGTCATGTGTCAGTCATTTTTTACGTGTTTTTTCATATAAATGTTTATAACTCGGAAGTAAATTGAGATATTTGCACCAAAATTGACACACATATGTATGGGGTCACTCTGAGGACACATAAAAAAAATTGTGGGACTGAGCCTCTTGGTGGCGCTATAATAGAACAAAACGTGAAATTCCCATTGACTTCAATACAGTTTTGTGAAATACAATGCTATACTAAACAAATGCTTTGGTCTAACATTACGAAACTCAGTGTGTGCCATAAGCAGCATGCCCTGAAGGTACTCAAAAGATTTTGAGACAGCGCCACCTGTTGGTCAAAAGTTATAATTAATTTCTGAGAACGCTAATAACTTTTGAATAAATTTGCCTATTGCAATGAAACTGATCTTAATAGATTCCTTGGGTTATGCCGAAAACATAGATATCAGGTTTTGCATAATCAGCCAAACTTCCTGTCCGCCATCTTTATTTCTTTGAAAAGCCTTCTTTTTCGAACTCCTCCTAGACCGTTTGTCCGATTTTCACGAAAATTTAATCGCATCATCTCCAGACCGTGCCGACTAAAAGTTATGAATTGCACGATGATAGACAAAACCGTTTTCGTATACCACAGCATCAAAGTTTAGGCATGCTGCCAAAATTACTATTTAGGCTTTATCTCTGCAATGCCTTCACATTTTGACACCAAACTTTGCATGTGTCATTGTCACCTCCCTCTGACCACATCACATCTATTTCGTAACTGCGCCACCTATTGTTCGAAAGTGATAACCCATTAAATCATCTTATAAGTTAATGTTTATGTGATTTTTTTAGCCATTTGCCCAAAGTTCTCTCAAAATGCCCTTAATTGCTCCTTGCTGCAGTTGGTCTGCCACTCCTTGCCATTTTGGCATATGTTGCCGCTTCTTGCGCTTGGCCCCGGTAATGGCTGCTTGCAGCTATATTTCTTTTTGGAAGTATGACCAACATAAGAATTTTCACTGGAAAATGTCATCTGAACTAGTAAGTAACATCCACTTTTGTTCTGACATTGCAGTAAATCGCGCTGAAAATCTAAAAATCGCTTATCATATCACGCAAAACCGTGCAGATTATACTTTGTTCACAAATAGTTAATGTTAACCGCAGCATTGCGTGACTTCATGTAATGTCCTTTCCAATATGTATCCTTGTTTTCGCATGGGTCCGGTTGCAGTCTCTTTTTTTCTGTAAGTTAGCCACTCCGAACTCCGAAAAAAGTCTTTTGCATTTTACAGCGGATGAGTCTCTAGTTGTCACTGGTGATTGTCGTTTAAATCTTTCTGGATTCGCCATCAAATTGATAAGTTTAATTATATCAAGTGCTGTGAGAAAAGGCTATAAACCTCCAACTCCAACATCCCCACGCAATATAGTCGACTAGCCGAGACTTTGTGTGTACAGATGTGACATAATGACGCAAAGACATACTCGAATCTCCCGCGGAAATCCACGAGTACCACTGGAGTTAAAAAATTTAATTAACATTGTAATTAACATTACAAGCTTACCGGTTTTGATTTCGAGCTTAGGCAAGCAGATAGTTTTGAACACTGGATGCATTTTCTCAAATATGTATTCTGGATCATTTTTAACCCCAAAAAAGTTATGGAGTGCAGCTTTAAGAAAAAATAAATTAAATCTTACTGACCCAAACTTTTGAAAAGTAGTTTACCATTATGTTTAAATGCATATATGTGGACCAATCAATGCAAGAAAGCATCTTTCAATTCATCATAGTTGTGTGTATTCGAAGTCTCTGTTTTATTCCCGATCACTCGTTTGTTTGCACTGTCTAATAGCACAAGATTCAAGTTCCAGTGTGTTTTCTGTACCTTTTATGTAGATGTTGAAATATGGTGTGCTGGTTATCTATTGGTGATCCACAACATAGCTCTCGTAGGACTGGCCCAGAAGTCTCTCTACATCCACCTCCGGCACTACCAACATTGAGCTGAGTGACGCTTCCTGGATGAGTCCTTCAGATTCTTGTCTTGTAGAGTGACAGGAAAATGCTCATCTCCTTTTTTATCCATCCCATGGCTAGCGAAGTGTTCTTATTTGTTTGCGCATGATGGAAACCCGTTTGATCAGTTGCCTTTATGACCTCTATCTGGTTTGTTGAAATTGGCCTGAAAGTGGAAGAAAACACCAAAACAAGCTCATCACATGTGGGAAAATCAGTCTGAAAATCAATTTGATGTCTCACTAAATAAGATTAAAAACAAAATGCAGTGTTACCTACCCAACAGCCCTTGAGTGAGGTGAGAGAGGCCCTTTCCATTAGCAATATAGAAGCCCAGGTGCTCCATTTGAAAGTATTGGGATGGTTGTAACGATGGAAGAGAATTAAGAACCGCACACCATCTCCGAGCTCAATCCAGCAGCTATGGTGCTCTTCAACAGTGATTCTCAAACTGTGCCACTCCAAATATCCTCTCTGATTGGTAGGCAGCGTCTCGATTCCCTTCCCTTTCTGCCTCTACTACCACTGAGTCCAGTGTTAAAGTGATCATAA